TAGAAACTACTGGAATAAAGGGAAGAGGATATAGTTAGCTTATGTGTAATGGTGCTGGAATAGCCTCAGTCTTCTCACATTGATATTAAGAGACCTCTACTCCTCACTCCCAGTCTAGTGAAATCATAGCTGGGAAAAGGCATATTTTTTTAATAACAGAAAAATCTTATCAGTGCTTTTAAAGAACTCATGTGGTGGTGGATTTCTTTCAAATTTTTGCTTACTATCCTAACTGTTTTATATTTTGAGTTTCTTATCTGTCTCTCAAAACGAACTAATGTAAATGCATTGAAGTTCAGCATGTATACTGTTGGCTGGAAATAAATTAAGATCAACCTACAGATTCACAGCTTCTGCCATTTGTGGCTGGTTGCTGTGTGGATGAAAAGGAGTTGGCTGAATTGCTGACTGGATAAGGCTTGATACAGTTGGAGGATAATAGTAAAAGAAAATTACTTTCCTAGTCTGTTGAACATGCACCTCAGTGACACCATATGGGAAGTTTTTTTGATCTTGTAGTTCTTTTGGCTTAATGACTGTTTCTATATGCATAAAAAACCACTAAAGCCTAAGAATTCATCACTTTTCGGGAAGGATTTTGGTCCCTTTTTCCAGTCAGTCATAGACACATTTTTTGGTACTGTTACCTTTGTAAAGGGCTGTGGCCGTGTGCTATGTATAGGATTATATCTGTGAGCAGCTTGCAAAAGGTAACCAGTGCTGAACACGATCAGTTTAGTGGTTTGGTTGCCGTGTTCCAGATGAGTTTTTCGGTTGGCTTCCAGTTGTGCTTTAATGTCATGGTTTTGCCTGTTCTTGATGGGGGGAAGTTTGCAACTCACTGTGATCTGCTGCTGAGTGATTAACTTTATGCTGCCTAGCAGCAGTTAAACAAAGTGATCAGAGCGTAACCAGATACCTGTATGGACATTGTGTTCCAGGCAGTACTGTGAAGGACACTGAACTCCATAGTGTTCCCAGCCTTTGTCCTACAAAGTCACAAATGCTTAAATTCCATTAGCTTGTCACAAGGGTGAATTGTTGTTGTTTTCTGTTACTTTTTTTTTTTTTAGCTAAGTGTTGGAATGTTTTTATGGTGTGCCTTTTTGTTTAAGAAAATGTGCACTTTAATTATTATTTAATTAGGGTATTGTGCACTTAATTTAAGAGAGTTATTATTAGTATATACAGTAATGATAATATCTGTATTAACTTATGTGATAGTCACAGTTGTAGCTTCAGAGTGATTGAAGTCTTTCAAGCTATTTCCTTGATGTGGATAATTAATTCTGAAGTTTGGATTTATGTTAAATTATTTGTGAATTCAAGAGGAACCATCATGGAAAGTTTTAAAATTTGAATAATAGGGATAAAACAATAGTTTGAACCATGTGCTATTTTCAAATCCTCCTATTTTTCTTATGGTCTTGGGCAAGTTGTTTCTAGTTTTCCACCGACTTGTTTGTAGAGTAGTTTCTCATATGATGGGAGGTCTCTGAATTACAATTGCCAAAGTTAAGACAGTTTAGCTCCTTTGAAATGTAATTACTCTAAATCTTCTGAACTGCATTCTTCTAAAGTGAATTTGATACTTTGTTGTTTCCAAAGCATTTGGAAAATGGCAACTGAAAGTGTTACCCAGAAGAAGTAGTAATCATATTTTCATTTTCCATTTTGAATACTGCAGCTAGACATAAACCCCTGAGTACAATTTTTGAAGGGAAGAGGGAGAGGGTTTTGATTTGCATTGTTCAAATTAAAATGTTAACATTAACCTTAGGTATTGCAGAATTGGATATTTATTCGTGAGGGAGAAAAGCTTAATCTCGAAGACCAAGTTTTTATAATGGAGGGATGTTCTCAAAAATTGCTGATATGCATGAGGACCCTTACATTTGGATGCTGCCTACAGCAACCTCAAATACAGAGATGGGAAGTTTTCAGGAGGGCAATATCTCATATCAGCAGTTTCATTTTCATAAAAAGTTAATCCCTTTTAAAATAACATGAGTTGTAATGCTTCTGAAACTAGAAGCCGTGTTGATTTTAGCGTTTAACCCCTAGTTTTGGATAAGGGGACTTGAAGTGTAGAGAAGCCTACTGGTACTTGTTTTATCAGGCAAGTTCTTCTGCATCAGTTTTGAAAAGCTTTAATAAAATTTAAGTCACAGCCTTTTAAGGTACGGAGTTCCCTTTCAGTTCTCCTTTGCTATATTTTTTGCTCAGAGTAGTCTATGGTCTTGGTCTGTGTCACTTGCTCCCTGCCCTCAGACAAACCCCCACACAGCAGGACCTTCAAGTTAGTTGACCTGTTCCCAAGCCAGTGTTTCTGTGGACCATATGAAAATGGTTACAGACAGAGACCTTGCTTCTGCTTGGCTATTACCAGCATGGCTGGTCTTTTGCCTCAGACCGGAGTTATGTGGTTTGTTGTTGTTTGGATTTGGTTTTCAAACTTAATCATGCTTGCTTCACTTCAGTAAAAAAATGTATTGATATAGGATCTGTCAGAAACGGATTTATAAAAACTTTCATGCTGTGTAATGCTGTATAATTTCTTGAAACGTGTTCAGAGTTCACTAGAGTTTTCCTTCAACATGAAATAGAAAAACTTCCCCGTCTCAAGTGTTTCATAAGAAAATAGGTCTTTAGGGAGTGAACAGTATACTTACCTATCACACACACCATTTGATATTATTTATTGAATTCTTACAAGTGGGCAAATGGCTAATAAAGTACCTATGGTTGGTTGTTTTTTTTTTTGACACTTTATTGAATAACCAGAATTGTGTGTTTCATCAGATTGCATTGGCTGACTTGGTATTGAAGTTTTGAATATATTTCTTTCTTTCTCAAAATATCTTGAGATTACTATTGAATGGGAAATATTGTTAGCTGAAACACCACTTTTGGAAAGTGCTTTAATCAGCTATTATGTCTGCATAATAAGAACATTTAACTTTGGAAAAGCATTCATATAGCCTTGCATTTCTGCCAGAGCAAGCGAATGGTATTTAAAGGAAGCTGTGTTTATGATTCCAGAGCTGGTGGTAAAAAAAAGAAAATTAATAAATTTTGTCAGATCTAGAATATTATATCTTTGGAGTTCTTTATCCTTGACACCTATTTATTTTAGCTAAGTATTTAGCTATTCCTATTTTTGCTCATTGGTCACAAAACCTAGTGTTCTAGAACTATCAACTCAGTAAGTCTGCCTTCTTTTTCCATATGCCATAATACCTTAAGTTGTTGGATTGTTTGGTTTTTAGGTTTTTGTTTTAACATCTTTTGTAATTTCTTGTTTGCATCTTAAAAGCCTGCCTGGAGTGGCTGCCTGTCTAGCTATGACGGGCTGGCAGTGGCGGTGGTGCTGAGCAATGCTGTTGAAGGCAGCGTGTGCCAAGCTCAATCTCTACAGTGACCTTCCATCTGTGAAGGTCTGAGTAACTGGATGCAATGCTTTGCATCGGTAGAAGTAGTTCAAGGGTAGCTGTATCAGTGGGGTCCTGTGCCCAGTTAAGCAGATGTACCAGAAGAAGTATATAATGCAGTGCTGTAGTGACTACATTGCCTTGGGATTCTAGCTGATAGTTGTGCATGGGATTGTTCTGTGCTGCATAGCTTAAACATGACCATAGTTTAAAAGCCATGATCGGTTTTAAATGTCCAGAGATGGTTTTGGTTCTGCAGACAATATAATCTTGTCTTCACGGTCTCAGTAAGTGATCTCAGTTATGGAGCTAATACTTTGCAGTGTATGTAAATCTTCTGCGTAGATAGCAGAACCATGTATAAGAGAGAATGGGCAGTTATTATTTACTCTTTAAAATTTGGACTAATTAATGAAATCAAAAGCAATTTCTTTTAGATAAGGTATGATCTTATTACCTGTGAAGTTACACATTTCTTGGTTCTGCATTTTGAGCTGAGCTCTTCTAAATGACTAATTCATGAAAATAAAAAGCTGCTCAGCAGGGAAAAAAGAAGGATTCTGAATTATTGTGTCAGTAGATCCTGGTGAATTCTGCTTAGGAAGCAGACACGCCCGCTTTTGAAGTTATTCTTTAAATACTTGGTGAACAGCTCTCGTGAGCTGTTAATGCAGTATTTGGCCTGATTTTAGTAATGGTAACTTTTTAGGCTTTCTTTAGCCTAGAAAAGTTTTGGGTGGTGTCCCTCTCTCACCCCAAGTACAGATTTGTAAGTTATGTTTCAAAATACTGTGATATTAGGCTATTTCATTTCAACTTTCAGAGATGACTAAAAGTTTATTTTAGAAGAGGAGGGTCCAATCTTATGTTGACTGTTAAGATTTTCATCTAAATGTCTGAATGGGTGAATGTTTTGGGGGTAGTTGCAAAGCTTGTTGTAAGTTGCCGTCCTTCCCATTTCTCTGTAGAAAACTATCTGTGCAGAATGAGAATGTATTTATCTTTGCCAGTTCCAAAATAATTTATATCACCTCAAAGTAAACCATTCCTTTAGTTTCAGCTGCAGAAGGCTCTGGGGAAAAGAGGCCCTTCAAGCCTGTAGCCTAAACATGCTTGGTCTTGCTTCCTTAGAAATCATTCTTGCACCAAATTCCAAAACACAGTGGAACACTTTATCTGCTTGGGAATTTTCCAGGCATGGGATACTAGTGTGGTGTTTTCACAGTAGTAGGCACTATCCTGGAGTTTCAGGAAGTGTCTTCCAAAATTCTCTGTAGATATATTTGCAGTTATTTGCAGATATTATCTCTCTTTTCAGAGAGAAATAGATACAGGTTAACAAAGTTTCTTTACACAGAAGTTTTGGTTTGGGATTTATAGTCTTTGTTAAAAGAAAACTTGCTTTTATTATCAAAGTGTAATTTATGCATAAAAGCAGATTGGCTTTTCAGCTTCTTGATCCAGACAAAATTAAAATATTTCATTAAACTTGTATTGATGGGTGTAATATAAGTTAGAGCTAAACATACTCTTCTCTTTTTTTTTCTTTTTGTGTATGTGTGTGTACAGAAAAGATGAAAAGGAGTATGCACTGAAGCAAATTGAAGGTACAGGGATTTCCATGTCGGCCTGTAGAGAGATTGCAGTAAGTGTATATAAATGAAAGTATTTTTACTGACATTATTACTCAACAGATATTTTATTTTCCTTGCATTAAGTAACATAAAGATTATCTAAATGTTTTCTATGAAGTTTGCAAGCATGAAAGTTTATTCAGATGTGAGTTTTTTTAAAATACTTTCTAAGTCGTAATTTTCTTTTTAGTGGAAAGGAGTGTTCTTTCCAGGTAATAGTAGGGCCTCTTTCTGGTATAATTTGTTTCTTCTGCTTTGATATGTTCAGAGGGAAATAAATGTGAACTTTTAAATGAAGTCTTATTTTAAAAAGGAATATTTTTAAAATGACTTGAAGGAAAAAGGTTCTGAAAGATTACAGCTACCATTACAAGTCCACTTGCTAAAAATATAATTTATTTCAGACTAATGGCAGCTTGTTCTTCTTTAGCACCCGAGAACAGTTTGTTCTCCTCATTTCTTATTTGTTTTGCTAAGTAGAGAGAAATGTCATAGCAAAATAAAAAACAACTTTAATTGTTTTTTTATTACATGTGTCTTAGGAGAAAAAATTGATTCAATAATTTTGCCCTTTGAAACACATTACTGCCTATCATTTCTTCAGATTTGGTAAAAATTAAGTGTTTGTATATGACGGTAGAATTTGATCTTTAAATGTTTTATTTTATGTCTGAAAATGTGCATTACTGTCAAAATGCTGGTACCAAGTAAAATTTTGCAAGAATTTGTTGCATTGCAAAAGACGTGCACTTGCTTGATTAAATATTTACCTTGTCTTAATGTTGTTGCTGTGCTGCCAGCTGTTGAAATGTATGTTAGGATTGTGCCTAAAGCTTTTTATAATCTAGCAGTGTTGCACTGAAACACAGCATTCAGGTGTGCAATGCAATTTGAGGCATTAGAAACGCATGATGTCCATGAACTGAACAAACCACTGTATTGTGTTCAGTGTAGTGTCCACGGTAATTCTGTATGAAGAGACTTAACAGATAAAACTGCTATCCTTTTAAAGTGCTTATCACTGTAAGGTCAAGGTCACTTGTGGATTTCAGAGGTGGCTGCGTTGCTGTCAGTCACTTTACACAGGATTTACCCAGTGACCTTTCTTGCTAATATTTCTGCCTTTGGAGGAAATAAGAAATCCCCTTTTAACATCAGTACTAGGTTGTATTCTTGCTGCTATAAAATCGGTTTTGACAGCATCGAGGGGTTTTTGTTTCTTGGATCGTTGTTCTTTGTTTTAAATTGTGCTCCTATGCAGATAATGTATGGAATAGTCTGAAGGAAACTTTCCTGTTGTCATGACAGTGGTGTGATATGAAGCTGGTTCTGTCATACCTGGACACAACAATGTAAGGAAGTAGAGAATGTCCAATTATTTAAAGTTGATGATACATAACTATTTTGGCCTTGTTTTTCTTTTTTTTTAAACTTTTTTTTAAAATTAGTAAAGCTTTGTACAAAGCCCAGTACAGCCTGTGAATTTTGATTTCTGTTGTGTAAGTTACTTGATTACTTTCAATGGTTCATCTGGTAATTCTTGGATTATACTTTACTCTTCTTCAGACATTATTGTGAAACTCTGTAACCTGAGCTAATGGAGCAAATCACCATTTGCCTCAGTGAAATTTCAGGTTGGTCAAATATTAGAAGTGTGAAAAAGGTAAAGCTGAAATAGTTGAAAAAGAAATACAAACTTTTTGTCATATAGAAACAAGCCAAAATCAAATGCATTTTCCATACAGAGAAGCAGATTTCTAATTAATGCATCAATAGCTTATCTTGTATTTAAAGGCTTAGATAGGTGACAAAGAGGGTAATGTTTACTGATTAAATAAAGATTTTCAGCCTGGAAAGAGGCCATTTAAAAAATGTCATGAGTAGTTTTCTTGACATTCAACCCACCCCTACCCTCTCCAGCAGCAAAACAACCCCAAACCCTACCTTGGAAGCCGAGAACATGAAAGGGACACCGTTGTGCGTTCAGAATATTTTAATAATTCTGTAAACTGAAGACACTTTACAATATGCTCAAGAAATATATTGCTGAACTAAAAAGTGTTCAGTTTTGCAGTCCAAGACCATTTTGCATGTCCTATTTCTTAGACACTCAAAATAATATCTGCTGGCTAACTTTCCCTAAGACAAAAGGCTCCTCTCTTCTGACATTGCAAATTCAGTTGGTCTGTCTTTCCTTAGGTCTTTGAGAACCATGAAGCTTCTCTTACCACCATTCATGAGCTTTTCCTGAAAGGCATATGGCAGTGAAATCATTTAGACAGTGGTTCCTGGGGCAAGTGATTGTTACTTTATTTCAACTGTAGGGTGATACTTGCTGAAGGATTCCATATTTCAGCCAATTCTGTTGTCTTGAATATGAAAGTATTAGAAGGTATTCTTATACATCAAAAGACGTGTGTGTGGGAAAAAAGCTAATTTGTTCCCTGTAACTCAAGTTTATTCTGAAATGGCAACTATTTCTATGTTCCTTTTATGAGGCAGATTATTGCTTGGCTTAAGCAACAGCATGTTTTGAAGAACAGTGGTGTAAAATATGAATGAGAGTTATGAAATATAGAGTTTCATTTTTAGATGATTATTTATTTAATGAAAATGACATCTCTTTCAGCTCAAGACTTGAATTAACTCATTTTGGAACTTGAGGTTAGGGGAAAGGAAGACTTTTATTCAGTTACGCTGCTTTCGCATTTTATGTTTTGCTCCTTACCTTGTCTAAGTAGGTTTTCTAGAACAAGTGAAGACAGAAGCAGCAGACCAGAGTGGTATTATTTGTTAGGGCTGGTTTTTTCCTGTTTTTTTCCTGATCTTCATTTGTTCTGTTAGAAACAAATAGCTATAACTTTAAAGTCTGCAAACAGCTAATGGTAATGGAATTTTGTATTTCTTTATCAAAAAAACACCAGGGAAATACAGCTTTATCTGAGATTTCTTGTCCCAAAGGTTTCGCTTCCTGTGAGAGTATTATCCAAATTAATTCTACTACTTTGCTTTTCACCATCAAGAGACTATAGACTTCTAATTGTGGATTTTGGGAAAAACTAATTCAGAATAAAGAAAAATAATAAGCTTTTTCTTAATCAGTGCCATTCACTAAGTACTTAATAAATGTCTGGATATGTAGCCTGTCCTTGAGCATGGAAGAACTTCAACGCAATTGTCGTTACTGGCTTATTTAGCTGATATGATGCAGGTCAGAATCCTAAGTGAATGGAGCATGTCAAAAAGCAGGATCACAGCCCGAACTTTATGAAAGCAGACTTGAACCTCATCTTGGAAGAATTCTGTTGAGATACAGCCCTGGAGAGAAGAGGATACAGGAAAACATGTTGGTATTCAAGGATCAGATTCAAGAAAGCTCCATCCCAAGAAGTAGGAAAGCAAGCAAGGGCAACAGGAGGCCTGAATGGATGAACAAGGAGCTCCTTATTGAACTTGGACATAAAAAGGAATCAGGAATTCCTTTTGGAAGCAGGGATTGGTAATACAAGAGAAGTATAGAATTGCTGTTTGATCTTGCAAGAATAGGGGTTAGAAAAGCCAAGGCCGATGTGGAGTTGAGTCTGGCAAGGGACCTGAAGGGCAAGAAGAAAGGATTCTACAAGTACATGAATATCAAAAGGAAGACTGGGAAAAATATGAGCCTGCTGCTGAATGGGTACAATTGGTATGGAAAAGGCCAAAGTACTCAATAACTTCTTCTGCCTCATTCTTTACCAGTAAGGCCAGGTTCAGAAATCTCATGCTCTTGGGACCAGAGAAAAAGTTGAAGGAAAATTTACCTTTAGTGGAGGAGGTCCGGATTAGGAAGTGTTCAAACTGGACATACACAAGTCTGTGGTGCCTGATGAGCTGTGCCTACAAGTGCTGAGGCAGCTGCTTGGATTTCATTTTGAGACCACCCTCAGTTATCTTAGAAAGATAATAGTGAATGGAAGAGAGCAAATGTCACGCCTGTTTCCAATGAGAATCAAGGGAACTACAAGTTGATCAGCTACATCTTAGTCACTGGGAGGGTGATGAAGAAAATCCTGGTGGAAACGATTTCCAAACCCACGCAAGGCAAGACAGTGATTGGGCGTAGTCAGCCCAATCGAAGGGAAAATCATCCATAACCAATCTGTTGGTCTTCTACGATGAGATGCCTGGCATGGTGAATGAGGTGAATGCTGTAGATTGTTTATCTCGACTTTACTGAGGTTTCTGAGGCTGTCACCCGTAACATTCTTGCAGACAAGCTAACACAACCTGTAGACAAAGATGACTACTACTAAAGGTTTCTTGTGAACCAGTGACTTGAATTAGGTCCTGGATGCTGTTTGGTCAGCTCCTGGTCCCTTCCAGCTTTTTACCCACCCTTGCCAATGAGAACTTCCCCTCTTCAAGGATAAATTACCAACTGTAGCCATCTGCTCTGTAAATAGTAATCTTAATTCTAAAATTCATTTGATTTTTCTATAATAGGGTGTTTTTATAGATATTTTTTTTTTCTGTAGAGGAAGAAAATGAGACTAGGCTGTTGCAGATGATTTAAATGGGACAAGTAGAGCCAAAAACCAGTGTCATTGCTAACCTAGCCTTTTTTAAAGAATGCCCTAAGTGCTGCAGTTTTGCCCTGCGTGAATGTTTGGTCTGGGACTTGTAACCATTTTAGTTGCCACATCCTGTGCCTGTGTGTACTGTTTTTTAGCGAAGGCTGCTCTTTCTGGGAGACCTTTAAATGTTGCCAGTATGCTGTGGGACACTAGTGGGAGCATTAGTTGACCTTTGTGTTCATACTTGCATCTATGGGTACAGGCTAAAATAAATTTAGACTGTAATGTTAAACGAGTTGCTGAAAGCTTATTTGAACAATTTAGAATGCACAAATTATTCTCAGGCCTTTTGCCTACTGATGCAGTGTATGTTACAAACTGCTAGAGGGTACAAATATTTTGGCATCCTCAGTCTCTGAGAGTGGGCGAAGTTTTAGAAGCCTTGCAGGTTAAATGAT